CTGATCTCGAGGCACAGACCTGGGCCGGATATAGGTACTTGATTGGAGGTGCCTAGGAAGCCGAGCGGTCGATGGCGCCTGCCGATTGGCGGAGTTGACGGTGGGCGGGAAGGGGCAGGCGGGGTTTCCTCAGACGCGGAAAACCTTGCAACTTCAGTTACCCACTGGCCCGCCTGGGGTGCGGTCAGTCCTGTTTGTGCTGCGGTGGGGGTCAAAGTTCATGGCACTCCTCTATGAGCCTTTACTTTTCTTGAGAGACTCTCAGAGGCCCCCAGGACCACCACGTTAGAGCCTTTGAGGAGGTCCCCATTACCCCGTTAGACCTGGCACAGCTTTCTAAGTAATTCGGCTGTAAATTAATAGTGGCAATTATTCATTCGGGACTTTGTAAATATTTCCTGGATTTGAACTCTTTTATATCTTTGGCAAAGGAGTTGCCCTTCCTTGCACTGCGTTCAACTGACGTCAATTTGATGCTGTTGGAAGAAAAAAATTTATATACTAGGCATTCAACACTGACAGGGCACATTTTTATAGGTACAAGGACAAAGCTTAAGAAATACTCAGTTTATGGATAATGATAACCATGACAAGTAGGAACAGGAACTGTCTTGGTGGAGGAACCCCTGTTAGCTTTAGCAAGGCTTCAGCCAGCCTATTCAACGTATTTTTCAGGGTCACATGTTTTAATGATTTTCGTGGGAACTAATGGCTAAAGTAAAATGAACTTTGACCCAAGTGCAACGGGTGATTACCAGAGACCCATCTTTACCCAGGCTGAAAGATAGTGCCTGCCAGGAGTGAAAGTGCATCACATGTTAACTTAGAACCAGTCTTTATATTTTTGTGAAACTGGATATGCTAATTCAATCAATACTGGAAACTGAAAACTGCTACTCTCACCCTTAAAGCCCAAAGCTAATGAACTTTGACAATTTAGCATTTTGTGAAGGAATTGTTTCATTTCTGGAACACAGTTTGTTCCCAAGCCTTGTCAGATGTACACAGGACTTCGCTCTTAGAAAACTCTCCACCATTATTGTTTTGTTTTGACTCCTGACAAAACTTGTGTTCCAAACGCTATTCGTGTTTTCCCTAGTGTTTAAAAATCATACCTATCCCAATTATGATGCTCCTTTTTAATGTTTAAGTTTGAGTGTTAGGGCATGTAGAAAGGCAGGACGCCTTTTAAGAATTCCTGATTCTTTTCAGGATGTTTCCCGAGCAGAGTGACTGAGTACCATTTTGGGAAAGGATGCAGAATGATTTCAAGGTGGAAAAACCTGATTTTAGGGGAATTGGATATTTATAGGCCTAGTGAAAGACTGTCCAAAATCTTATTAGACCGCTATGAAAGTTGGGTAAGACTAAAGTCATGAGAGAATTGTTTTGACTAGGTCCTCCTTCTCTACCAAGCATTTGTCAGTTAAGAGCTCATCCTACCAACTGCAATATGGATAGAAGAAATGGGGTAAGATTTCACTACATAAGTGTTCAGTTCTATCTATTCATATAAAAAAGGAATGCATGACCATTAACAGATGTTATTTGCAATCAAGAAGACACAAGCAAGATAAAACATTAGTAATATAAAAATCACAGGATCTTGTCATGTATAACTGAAAAACTGTGTTCTACACTGGAATTTGACACAACATTGTAAAATGACTATAACTCAATAAAAAAATGTTTAAAAAATTACAGGATCTTGAAAGGAAACCAATTAACAATATCACTTTTTTTTTTTTGATTCATTGTATCAAGGAACTTCTAGTTTCTAAAATGTCGGTGCTTTTTCTGGTCTATAATTATTGCACTGATAGAAATTCAAGTTGCTCAATATAGTTGATTACAAATAACTTAGACATGACCTAACAGCATAAAAAAGAAAATGACTTCATCCTTTGGACAAGAAACAGTTCTAAAGTTCTAGTTTAAATATAGGTGGTGGACCTACAGAGAGCCCTGAGAATGACTCTCACTTAGAGCTTCAGAAGATCTCTAAACTGCTGGAAAGACATTGCAACATTCCATTCTGAAAATTCCTGAGTTCTGTTGGGAGGAAAAATCCCTTGCAAACAGAGCCAAGATTTTAATTACAGTAAGGTAGAAAATAAGAAATGTAAAAGTAAAAGGGACGAGAATAAATTTTTTCACTTTGAGAAGACTCTGTGGGAGCCAATTCCGAGATAAATTTGTTCACAAAGTATCTGAGAATCAGAATACTGGGTGTCACCCTGGCTTTTACATCTGTGTCCAACTTTACTGCCTGTAAGTTACTTTTTCTATGGAGACTTGTTTGCAACTTAAAGAGCAGGGTTTCTTTGGACAAACCATTACACTCCTCTGGGTCCTTTGCCTTATCCCTTTTCTTGCTGCACACACTTACACAAGGGATATCCTTCATTAAGCAAAGCTTATAAGTGTCCCCTTCTACTCAATCACACAAATTAATCCATGCTCTCTTGTTTTCTAAGTTACCAGCTAGCACCTTCCTTACCTTAGCTTAATTAACTTTCTGCCGGCAAATGTTCCGCTTGCTCAGTTGAGAGTTGCAAGTTATTAGATTGGGGAAAACCACCTTTTAAAAAATTAATATTCTAAGAAATATGAAGCAGCTGTACTGTAGAGGGCCTGGATCTAAACAAGAGTAAACAAGGCAGCCTGGACGCTACCTTTTTTTTTTTTCTTTTTAGGCAGGTGACAGCTCTTTTCTCATCTGTAAAATTGGGAGAACACAATATTAAGCTAACCTATACAAAGAGGATGTGCACCCACCAAGTGGGAAAATACTGTTTTGTTGACCCCAGGATGCAGTATTAGCAGCCTCGTCTTTATTTTAGTTCCCTCCAATTAGTCAGGGGAGGAGCCAGGCTCCTTTTCTTCGGGATGATCGCAAAAACCCTAGATGTCTAGGTTTCCCGACCTACAAACGGGATGGTTCATAACGTTCACCTGTTTAAATTAAATGAAACCACCTCCACCTGCCAAGAGCCCGTCAAATCCTGTGCGCTCAAGTCCCTAAAGATCAGCTCTTAGTTTTGGGTCCTGGCGCCGCCTGGCGGCCATTTCCGGAAGTGGCCTCTGCGTTTCGGGGTCCTAGCCGCGGCCGGGCCTGCCCAAGGATTCGCCTAACTCCAGAGACGCTATCTCCGCCCCTCCCCCCTACCCGTTGAGGATTTTAAGACGGCGATAAAGGAGATGGGGTTAAAGCGAAGAGAGTGTCCGGCGGCCTCTCCACTCCCTCTAGGATGGCGGAGTCAGGCGATCCTCGGGCAGCTCGCGACCCGGAAGTCACCGCCGGCTCGAGGCCCCAGTTGCCGAGAGCGGGTGAGAGGGGCGGAGCTTGGCGGAGACCGCGGAGGGGTCGCCGCGGCTCCCGCTCTTCGAGTCGGCGG